CCACAAAAAAACCCCAACCCAAACCATTCACCCGTAGATCTACCCAAAAAAGAGGTGGTGTCCCCGACGTAAACGAACGGGGGCTGCGTGTGCCCACTCTGGTACGCTGAACCTCAAGGAGAAAACGTGCGCTTGTTCAACAGACGGGTGAGCGCTTTTTGAGACTCACATGGAGGCGTCTCGGCGGGGGAATATACAAGCTTGCACGGAAAAGTGGGGGCAGGATGGTGTTTAATATTTGGAGCTCGGGGAGAGCGGGTGGGGGTGGGGGTGTGAGGTTGTTCGTGTGAACGGGGGCACGCCGGCCATGCCGATGAGGGTAAAGTGCCCCATACGCGCTCATGTGTTTGTCAAATATTTATGATCAAATTGTTTTTTGACAGTTTGACGTTTGCCCTACACGCTCAAATTTTTTTGGTCAAACATTAGTTTGTGCCAAGAGTTTGTAATGGACGGACCAGCAGCGCTGGCTGTTGCTTTAGCCTTGCGAGAAAAAAAAAGAAAGAAAAAAGAAAGTGGACCAAAAATTTGGCCTTTCTAAATTATTACATGAGTTGTGATGCACTGAACCAAATGATTTCAGAAACTTTTTGCGGATGTACGGAGATTCGTTTGATGAGCTTTTGGAACTTGTCAGACCTTTTATGAGCAAACAAGATACAGTTATGCGTAGTGCCCTATCTCCTGCTTACAGATTTTCAATAAAAGAGGAGTAAAAGAGCATAAAAAACCACAATGAATGCTCGTAGATATCATCTGCACCAGGGGCGGCTCACGGGGCTAAAAAGGGGGCGTGCAAAATTAAGCTATCGCTGGCCGAAGCTAGTCAAGGGCATTATAGTAAATGGGAAGGTGTATAGTTTTTAGGATCTTTGGGTTGGTGTAGGAGGACCTTAAGCTTTTGTTTTCATTCTTTTTACTTATCGCTTTGATTTCTAGAACTAAATCTGTTTGTTAGCTAAGCATCAATTTTGTTCATCCTGCATTGGAACTGAATCCTCAAGTAATAACTTTCACCACTCTACTACAAAACCTACCAAAGGCACACATTATAGGACAGTGAATTAAGTATGTCACGTTCACTTCCCTCATGTTCACGGTCACAGGGTCTGTTAAATAGTGGCAGGACAATGAACCAATCACAATTCACTTGAGCACTCCGGTGGATTGCTCCGGAGCTCACATAATTTTGGCATGGAATAGTGTACACTCTATTGCATTTATTTTTAGACGACTTACTGTGGGCACTATTCGGCAGGAGCCTATACGTTCTTATACTAACCGTCCAGGCGGTAGCACATTTGAGATGTGCTGTCTTATTAATATTAATGTACCGCCAAACTCGCTTCGAGTGTCATCATCGCTTCGGTCATCCCAAAGAGCGATTTATAGGTCAGGTTACCACTGTTGAATAGTATCCTATTGTGTCTAGATAAAGCGCGAGGACTTTGGCATGGCATATTATGTTTTACGGCGCTATAGACACAAAAATGACAGTTACGGAGCTAACGAGAACTTTGTTTTGATATAATATGTGGCTAGTGTTTTTTCCTGGCTTCATTTATTTTATTATTGTGGGTGCTTTTCGTAAAAGAACATTAAGAAATTTTGGGCGGCACTGCACGACCGTGCTCTATGGACGAACCGCACCTGATCTGCACCGGCCCCAGACTTTTGAGAATCCTCCAATTTCTTCAACTCCCTTCGAAAACTCGTCCGCATTGAGAATTTTCTTTTTCATTTCTTCTTTTGTGGCATCTGCCTACCACTCCCTGTATTTCAGCAGCAGAGCGTCAAATTCAGTTTCTTTTTAAAAATCTCTGTCACTATATTCTTTACTTTTAACTTTCCATAGTTCAGGCAAACACTGGTGCACTTCAATCAGCCCCAGAATACTTTTTTTCCATCCTTTGAAGGCACCATCATGATGTAAAAAGTAGTTCTTTTCAATCCGGCAGCAACTGAAAAAATGATGTTTGCACAAATCAATTTGATGAACCCCACACACATTCAAATAGTTTGAGGGTTTGACAAAAAATATAAACTGAAAGAAAATCCGTTAAATATTTGACATCAAAATATTTTGACAATGAAGAAAGCCCGTATGTATGGCAAGTGTGACGTCACTGCTGAGAGCTCAAGTTATAACCTCTTTACCCCTACCCATCCTCCCAATATCTCCCCCATCGCCCACAAAAAACAATAACAACGCCTCATATAAAACTTTATCGGCTGTGGTACTACTACTGCGCCTTTAAAGGGCTTATAAAGATTTATAAGATTTCTTCTGAAATTAAAAAAAAACATTATTATTTGTTCATATTCATTTGCATATGTCGTGATTAATCAAAGACGCTTAATTCGAATTTACTGCTTTTTGCAACATAACCCTAGGCACTTGTTAATAGAAGACAATCGACGTAATATGTAAGCATCCTGTCTGCTTTCCACTAACTGGTCTCATTTCTGCATTTTTAGATTGTTGAGGGGCTTTTTTAATCAATAAAGGTTGGTAATTACTTCTCCTTGACTTTGTCAACGAAGTTCAAGTGACTGAGTGAGAAAAAAAGAAAGGTTTGAGAGTGTGAAGGGCAGTGCAGTGTTTCCCAAACACAGAAGTTGTCTCCGCGAGATCAGCTCACTGTCGTTTATGTTGTGGAGTCAACTGCGATAGTGGTTATCGGGTTGTCTGTTGAGAGGGGATAGCCACGTTATCGAACATCTAAATCAAAGTAAAAGTGGCCTACAACGAATTTGAATGCATATAAGCTAAACAGTAAGAAACGTTGGAATGCTCTTTTACTCCTAGACCTGTTCCATGTATTCATTTCTCGGGCCTGGCAGGAGAGGGAGTGAGATAAACGAGAAGAATATAATAACAACATCAACGATAACAATAATAATAGCAATAAATATAATAATAATAATAATAATAATAATAATATTTAATAATAGCAATAAATAATGCAAACCCAGAAGCATGCATGCAGATCCGACACATCGGACCAGTGTGTAACAACCGCACAAACTCAAGTGGACATTCTCCAGAAAAATATATATATTAAAAGAGACCCAGGCACGAAGACGGATGTGTTGTGTCTTCTCGCCTCGGAAAGCCGCGTCTGCACCCCTGGGGGCTGCGTGACTTTTATGTGACCTCAAGGGCCCCTGCCTGGGTTGTTTTGTTTCGTTGTTGTCTGGGTGTTTTTTTGTTGTTGTTGTTGTTGTTGTTGTTGTTGTTGCTGTTTTGTGGGGGGGTTT